TTTTTTCTTTTTTTTTGGAAGCAATCACATCTGAAGCTTTAAGTCGCACTGAACGACAAACTTCAAACACAGTTTTGTACAAGGTTAAAGCTAAAGAGTACGCGCTATATGCACTTAATATCATATTAGTATACACTACTGTTGCATTATAATTAATTTATATGGTATATAATACTGAGTATTTTACTGTATCATAAACACATCCACTGTATCTAGTACCAAACACTTTACCATGTAGAGAATACTATATTCCACATATACATTTCGATACAAGCACACTACCTTACTTTTATGAAATGATGACATTTTGGTACTAGCTGTTAGATTTACTGTGATGAAATCAGTAGAATAATTGGAAAAGATACAGTTGGAGATAAGAGTTTATCTAATCAGTCTTTCACACTTAGTTTTTTTCATCTGAGGTTGGTCAATGTTGAAACAAATAAACAGTAAAAATCCTATTACTATTCTCCAAATCACTGATCAAGCTTCAGATCTCTGAAGTTGTTGCTTATTTGCTAGAACTGCCATTAGTTCCATGCTGTGGATTAATTCATCTACACTTTGTAATTTTTATTCTTTTTAAATAGAATTCTAAAAAAACTGTCCTTGGAAAATCTCATTTAAAAGACACAAATTGGCATCAGCTCACTGAATTAAATCAAGTTGTGTGGATTTACATCGATTACAAATTTTGCTGTTTGAACAGTTCCCTGATGATACTCTGTCACTGTTCCGTATCAGGTGTTTATGAAGCTGAGCACAAGAACAGCCCTCTCGGGCCAGACTAAACATCTGCCCTGCGCAGAACCCCCTCTGCCTCCCTCGCCGCCTGTCCCCCGTGGTGACGCAGCCAATGGGACAAGGATCCTGAGATCACCTTCCACTTTGCCGTCAGCTCTCTGGGCCTAGTAGTGCTGCTGCAGAGTTCTTGTGCTACGCAGAGATCAGCTGAAGAAGCTCTGTGTGCAGCTAGTTCCCTGACAGGAACGTGCACAAAGTGCCACTGCACCCCTGTGCTGAAGACTCCAAAGGTGAGTGGATGAAGCAGCCATGAGGAGACAGTGTCCCCCTGTGTCAGGGAGTGATGGGGGTGCTGTCCTCCACAGATGGTTGTGAGCCATTCGATATTTCGGCCCCACTCTTTTGAAGACATCATACATTTTTGAAATTGAGAAGACTCAAAAACATCAGTGCTCATAAATGCATGCCCAGGGAACAGCAGGGCAAGCCGCTCTTCAAACAGGGCAAGTGTATGTGACACTTCCTCACAGAATATTTTGAGCCTCCAAATATTTTCATTCAGAGGATTTCCTGAGCAGTCTATAATTTATTTAATAGCCTCCAATGGATTCCCTCTCAAATACATGACTGCATATTTTATTTTAACCCAGGTAACCTTCTTGCATCCATGAAGTCTCTTGACAAGGCTTTGGACATGTCTATTACCCTACAGGAAAAAGGAAACGCATGGTCTGATGCCTCCTTGTTTTACTTGATGGTGTTTCCTTCCTGCACTGGAGGACAGTCAACAGCCAGTCCCTGTTCTTCTCAATGCCGCCCCTGTAGATCTCTCCCCAACCCCACCTTCCCAAGTCATCTCCTTCCCAGACTGGAAAGTCCTAGTTTCCTCAGACATTCTTTGCACAGAAGCTGTTCTGTATCTGTGATCATCTCTATTGCCCTGTCCTGAAAGTTTTCCAGTTATTTCTGCATGTATGGACCTCTTACCATGACTTCTTATCATACATAAAAGCCTTTGTCAAAAATTCCTAAAACAAAAACTTGCTAATACGCATGAAAATAAAACAACTTTATTTTTCTGCTGTTAAAAATCTAATTTCAACATACCTTGAAAAAATCTGCTCCATTTGGAATTTCCCATTTAGGTTTCTGTAGGTCAAATAAAACAACAGCAATTCCTGACCTGATGAGAGCACATCCCAGGTTGTATCCCAAGTAGCCTCCACCTCCTGTCACCATTGCCTTCCTGCTTCTGCTGACCACCGGCCCAGCATGTTCCTCTAGTTTGTTCTCACACAGCTGGCTCCCATGGAGCTCCTGTGTAGATCCCTCTTGCATCACAACTGCAAGATAAAAGATATCTTGAAAACTCCTTCAGAGAACTTCGGAGCTCCTTCTGGGAGCCAAATAATTTCAGTAAGTTTCATGTTACATTGCTCCTTTCATGACTGCAATGCTTTTATTATCTTAACAGCTTAAAATCTATAAATTTTAAAACATATAAATTTAAAAATGTATAAAATGGTATTTGTATGTACAGTGAGAAATGAATATAAATACTTTAATATTCCAATTTTCAGTCTTCTCCTCTCACCCAAAGGTTTCATGGTACCAAATCTTAACAGTTACAATTACATCTTTTTAATATTCAGTATATAAAACATTCTATTCTTGAAGACTACAACTTCTGATTTACTTATGTCAAATATATAACAGCCCACAAACCAGGACAAAAATATGTAAGAAAAGACTTAATTCTGCTTTTAAAATCAACCTTATTTCACTTTAGGTCAAAGTTCTTTAGAATAGTAATGATATATTTTGTTATCATCTTAAACTTGTCCTCCACAGGACAAGGACAAGTCTTGCTACATGCTACATGCTTAGTTGTCTGTCTAGTTCTTACCAACTTTTGTTCTCATCAGGGCATTCATGTGCAGACAGCCTGACAGGAACAGGAGGGATAAGCCCAGCGCCCTATGGGCTCAATTACTTGGGAAAACTGATAGTTCCATGATAAGCAATTTGATGTCAGTTACCTCTCTGCATACCTTATCCTGTACTAAAAGTATGTTTATTCTACATTAATCAATTATCTTTGGAAATATACTCATATTATACAATTAAAATGACTTGTATTACAAATAATATACTTAGGAAAAATTTGTCAAGTTAATTTTCCCACAGCGACAATTTCAATTTTTAGCATGGCCCTCGCAAATTAGGATCTAGGCTCTGAAGTCCCTGAATACAAATTCAGGATAAATTTGTCTCAAGTCAATCAAATTAAATCACTGTAAAATTGGTTTAAGCAGGAGCCAAACTGGGTACCTGCAATTCTAATAAAACAATATGGGTCCCCTTCTTGCAGATTATTATGGTTCTCATAAAGTGGGTCCTGGTAGCAGCATCCTGACTCATGAGAGTATCTGGAGAAATCTTAAACCGGCTGTACATATATAACTAAGCATAGTGTACTCTGAACCCCAGGGTTCATCAGAGGTTATGCAGAAACTGGGCAAGATTGTTAACTAGGAGCTGCATCACTTCCCAGTGACAAAAAATATACCAGAAAAGCAGCAGAAAATGCAGCTCACAGCATGCAAAGTTGCAGATTATCATTGCCATTGCATTGCCATTATCTTTTTTTTTTTCTAGTGATTTTTTATTTTTATTCTGATTTTAAAATCTCAAGAACAGGTAACTAGCAGATTCCCCCTGCTGCTCTACCACTTTAACACTACTGTTACCTCACTAAATTCAGAAAAACGGCTTAAAATAGTAGAAAATGTAGGCTCCTTATATTGAAAAATATCCTGATATTTTGAAAACAAAAATCAATCCACATTTGTCAAATAGAAATTAAACTAGAAGAACAGAATAAACCTAAGACAAGTATGTTGCTTTTTCTGTTAAATAAATTTAAATTTGTATCTCTAAACTATGCTAGCTCTGCAGTAGTTTTAAGCTATATAAAACTTTTGCCTTGTCTTCCAAAATGCTGCACATTTCAGTGCATTTTTCTACACTGTGATGGGAGCTAAGTCCAAACTTGCCACATATGCCATGTGTCGGCATCTTTTTTATATATATATTTGAAAAATGGCATACATTGGAATACTGACACCTGTCATTAATATCTCCTTATACTCTGCTTTAAGTGAGCTGGAAACTGTCTTGAAAAGCATCCAACAAGTTTGAGAATTCTACTAGAAATCTTTCTTTAAAAGCACTAACAGTACATTAATAGAATTAAGAAATTATTGCCAAATTTTCAATGTATCCAATTTATTGGGAGAAAATATATTTTTCAGCAACTTTCTTCTTTTTCTCTCAATTTATAGCAGTTATTTATGCAACCCGCATGATAAGCCTACTTACATCTTACTCGGTTCAAGTCTTGCGAGTTCCTCTTAGCTCCCCCAGTGCCATCTCAAAATTTAGAAAGGGAGGAATGATTTCCTCAAAGAAAACTAGACTCAAACATTTCAGGTTTTAAAAAATAGCTAAAGAAGTAGCAGTACCCTTTGAAGAATCCTGGATGTCAGTGTTTTCGCAGTTCTTCTTTTCCAAGCAAGATGGTGAGACTCCTCTTTGCTAGACGATTAGTGACATGGGCATCAGGTACTCAGGGACACACAGACATGTACCTGCGCACTCAGGTCCTTTTGTTGTTCCTGTTCCCTTGTAGCTGGAGGCTGGACTAGGAACCAGAAAAGGGCAGGGCTTAATTTCTAAGTAATTTACCTTCCATGTTAAAGAAAAATAAAATATTGTCTCTCTGTAAGACCTTTTCTTACTGTTAGCTGGTAGAAGGATTAATAAGAAACACTAGGTAAGACAAAAACACCATCAGTACCATCATTCCACAGATAAATTGTACTAGGTAACTAGATATGTGCATATAGAAACGTATCACCCAGGATTTTCAGAAAATACTCAGAAAAAAAGTTCATCATTATAAAAACTTAGTAAGAAAACCTTATCACGGATCTTCAAAGGAGATTCCCTCAGTTTTGTGAAGCTTCGGTACTATTTATCTCATCCTACATCGACTAGATAACTAGATATGTGCATATAGAAACGTATCACCCAGGATTTTCAGAAAATACTCAGAAAAAAAGTTCATCATTATAAAAACTTAGTAAGAAAACCTTATCACGGATCTTCAAAGGAGATTCCCTCAGTTTTGTGAAGCTTCGGTACTATTTATCTCATCCTACATCGGAATGAAGGGAAGTATCTCCTTCTACCTAGAATTTTCAGTCTAAGTTGGGATATACAGAATGAAATAAAAATGTTGTCTGGCAATGATACTTAGCGCTTTCATCCTGATTTTTCTGTCTTCACCCCCAGTCAATTTAAGTATTTGCAAAGATGCCTAACAAGTAGCCAAAAGGTTTGTTCTCCTGTTTCCAAAAGCAGGAAAGCACAGGCAGCAAACTAACTGGTAGACAAAAGAAGAGAGTAGATTTACTGCTGATTAATGAATTTTAAATGAATAAATTAATAATTACAGAATAAGACTTTAAAGCACTTTTTAAACATATACCCTTTTGCAAATTAAACAATGAGAACTCAAAGCCTACCTTTCAAAATGGGTGTGCCTAAAGCAGCAGTTAGGATGTTAAACACTCCCAAACCTAAATATAAATGACTATAATTTTAAATTTTGGTATGTTAGACTTATCTCAAAATTGCAGGAAACTTTGCAATTTAAATGTAATTTAAGCCTTATAGTAGTCACCTGTTGGCAAGAACTCCAATTGACACCTAGGCAAATATAATTTAGCACAATATATACATATTTAAGTCCTTGCAGCCTGTATTAAAATGCTTGGACTTGTCAAGCTAATCTGCATTTCTCAGACTGTGAGATGTGTGACAAACGCAACTCAGTAAAACAACCAAGAATATAGAATCCTCTCTGAGCTAGACACAGCACTGAGGGCTTTGAGCATTTTACCCAAAAAGAAAGTGGCTGATCTATCCATTCCTGTCTAGTCAAGGACTCCTCCCCAAGTAAAAGCAGCTGCCCAGCATATTTATAGTGTTATCAATCACTAATTGCTCAGTGTAAAGCAAACAACTGCAACTAACTTGGCCTCGGGTTCCACCTTAGCCAGAAGCAGAGCTCAGAGGAGCTCCCAGAATTGATGTTTTCTACCTCTCTGGTTTCCTTTACTCTGAGAAGTTGGACGGTGGCTGTGTTATGTTCTCTACATCTTAAGTCAAGTCTTTCTGGAACAAACAGAAGCTAAAGGTACAATGAGAAGTGCTGCTGCATTTAGGACTTAGACTTGCTTTCAGTCTTGAATCACTAACTCTGTCCTGCCAGCACTTTTCTACCTTTACTCTTAAAAACATCCATAGTTCGCGTAGGCACAGAGATAAATAAATAAATAAATGCAGTACTTCTAGTACATGACTTTAGAGAAAATAGCTTCAAGGTGTCAGAATGTTTGCCAGTTTGTTCGCACAGAGAAGGACCACATTTCGGAAATATACTGACTTATCAAAGTGTTACTCATATCCAGACTACAAAGCAATGTTGAAAGCTAATTGCACTATTTCGTAGAGGAATATATTAAACTTACAAAGCCAATATTAAATTGCATGCTGATAAATCCACTGATAAATCTGAGCAAGAGTGAGTAGGATTCAGGGCACAAGAAAAACAAGACACTGAGTGCCTCCAGCCTTCAAAGGAGCGTGTTTGTCCTCATGCTCGTTCTGTGGGCACTGCTTCTTTGTGCCCTGCCAGGGAGAGATGAGGTCATGTCTGTGGAAATGGACACGTGCACTTTGGGGCTTGGACCATTTTTTCAGCAGGTCTCGCTGACTGGGTAGGTCTGCCAGTTTCGGAGCTACGTGGGAGGAAGCCAGTTTGGGGACTTGTATTCTGCTCCATTAGGCAACGTTGTCAAGCCCTCTATATTCTCTCCAATGCAACAGACTTATCAGGTGACAGCTGCTGGTGTTGCTGGTGCATACACTAAGCACACTTATCACGAATGTTAAAATCCATGCAGAAATGCATTCAAATTCTATTTATGTTGTTTCATCAGAATCAACCAACAGAGAAGATATAGTAGATTTTTTTTTTTATCTGCACATAATTTAACAGTGAATTACAGGAATTACACAACTATGTAAAACAGAAGACTCATTTGTACAGGTAGATTTGGATATATAGACATGATAAATTATTTAATAGAAACTATAGAAGAATCTAAGATATCGCCTTGAGGTCTTTAATCATTTTTAAAAAACTCTCACATGAAATGTAATTAGAGTTGTTTTAGCTATCCAATTGAACATACACGCATTCTAAGATC